CATTAGCCCTAAGCTAAAACCAACAGGTTCAGTGCTACAGACATATGTTCATTCTTTATAAAAATAAGATCAGTAAACTGAGAAAGAGGACCTCAAAAAGAACACATCATCTATTCTAGACCTTTTGTTGCGAAGCAAGTTCAAGCACACACAAACATTCTTGATTAGGGCGTTCCCCTTGATGTTAAAAAAAGAATCAATAAATAGAAATCCCAGCTTGCCATGATACCTTGGGTTTTAGCTTTTCTATTTTTCAGATTCTCTGCTGCCTGGTATGTAACTCTGAAACTTCATACTAGGTGTTAGTAAGTTCTCGTCACAGGGTAGTCAGGCAAAACAATCCCTTCCCAGCTAGAGAATCAAGGTCAACCACTACCCAAAAAGCATAAACAATGGTGGAGAGAAGGGAGCAAGCCAAGGGGTTGAAACTTCATGACCTGCAGCTGTAATTGGACAGCTGAACCCAGTATGCAGATGAACCAAAACTTATGATAAATGAATATGATTCCTGCTAATAATTGTAACTATATCGATATTTTAGAAAAGACTTCTTAAAAAGTAATAGAGGAAAGTTATATGTAATTAGTGTCACAAAACAGATGTTTGCAGATGTTCATAGGATACAGGATGGACTATTGAGATATTTTAACACAAATGGCCTTGGGAAGGACAAAGTTGGGAAAAACTCCCAAGAGCGGAATCGGCATTGAGACAAATGAAAGTCCAGGCAACTCCCTAGGCAAGAACAGCCTTGAAGGCGAATAAGTTGATATAATTCCAGATAGAGAACCCAAAACTGGAACACAATGCTTACTTTTATAACACCAAGCTTAATGTGCATGTGCAACCTGCCAGGTTATTCAGAGGACAGCGAGGAAGGCCATCGGCCTTCATCCAAGAAGACCCCTGAAGTGTCCAGAAGACCCCCCAGCAACAGTGGGCACATATGCTGTGTAATATAGTGAAGTAGATTTCAAGAATCAAAATTGGGAGGAGATTTACAGGAACTGTTGATGAATATGTATTAGCATACAGTATAAAAGTTGTGCTTGGATTCCTCTGCCTTCTGTATGTGTGGCAGGGTGAGAGGTCATCCCCATACCTCGATCCGTTTTGCTTATGCTTTATCTGAACCACTGCCAAATTTCTATTTGTAACTCCTTCACCATATTTGATTTCATTATTATTTTATATTTTCTTTTATACCTCAATTAAAATTGCTGCTAGATTTTAAATCTTGTGGTTTATTGAATTGGACATATGGGACCTCATTCATGACATTACAGAAGTGTAAAAACTTGTGACCAAAATCCATCTTGGATTCAACCTGGGTGTAGCCCTGGCCAGGCTCTTGTGCTGCCCAAGGTGTATCCTTTTAAGGCCTTTCAATAAATACCTATTTTGTCTATTTAGCTCTGTCTAGTCTCTGCTCCAGATCAGCCTCTTTAGGCATCAATTACATAATCGTAGAGACGGGAAACCACTGTTGCCAAGGTCTGGAAAATGATAAAAAATATCTCACCCGAATTAAGCTTATTAATTCCTTCTATACAACAAGGGACAGGAACACAGTTGAACTTTTTATCAATTTTCTCTAAACTAAAGATTGCATCTCAGTCTTCTTTATGAAAAACTGTCATTGAGTTTGTTCAGGATCTTCCAACTACTGTAACAGGCCATGTTTTTATCACCTCTAGCTACCCTCTGATGCCTCTCACATTTGTGTGTGGATTTCCTAAGGAGATCCCAGTGCCCACAACCTACTGCAGTACTCTAGCACAGGCTTTAAAAGCACAGAGCACAGGAGAGAATTTCCTTTCAGTGTTTTACATGCAGAACTCTGTTAAAACACCTCAAAAGGAAATCTGAAGTGTTTGAATTGGCATTCTCTTGTAAATTCATGGCTCAGTCTGCAGACCATTTACACCTTTTTGATTAAACAGCAGCACTGCAAAGAGGTAACAGATATAACAGGATGATTTATTTTTCTATTTTATTTTACAGGAATAAGCTGCAGTGACTCTTCAATAGGCACAAACTTGTGATGTACTGCTCAAAGTTTTAGAACTTAATTGTATGCAGCAGAAGATTCTGTAATTTTCTGTAGTGCTTAGAAACAGCTCCCTTTTTTTTCCCATTCACACGTGTGTAGGACACAGTCAAGCTCTCTATAGCTGACTGATCTATAATTCCTTAATTCTCCTCAAGTTTTAAAGAGAATGGCTTTAAGTTACCCTTTAGTCAGTTACCCTCCTCTACCAAGAGGAAAGATGACATTTTGCCCACTGTATAACATTGCTTTCTCATACACGTTTCAGCAGCAAAATGAAAAGCAAAACACAAAACCCTGACTGTGGAAGCACCATTCTTTTATCACTTCATATTGACCAGGATACCTCTTCACCAGCCAGGGAAACAGGATCAACTGGCACACTGCACTATGAACCTCCCAATCCAGTAGGGCCCATCTAATGATCTGCAGGCAAACTTCAGTCTGACAAACTCTTCCACCCATCCCAAACCCCAGGCTTAGAGGAGAGTGAACCACCATAAACAGCTAAACAGCACCTCAGCAGACAAATTGGCAAGCTCTTCCTAAAGGAGTTCCTGACATATTTCCTTCGGCTTGTCTTGAGGCCACCTACAGACATTGGTGACAGCCACTCCTGCAACAGCACCACTGCATCAGAAGGTCACAGACATGGGAATCAAGAAAAAAAACATCAGGATCTGTCTCCTGCTGTTTCCCAGGATGGAATCTCTTGTCCTTGCATTAAGGTTTGTGTGTCCTACACCTGCTGTAAAAAGATTTTGGGTATATTTGTCTTCCACCCTCTCATAATGAAATTACACCTTTGGAGAAAGGACTATATTTAGGATATTCTATCTGTATAAAAATCCATCATAAGAAGGCAGTTGACAGGACACCTGGTTACACATCTGAAGTTAAAAGCTCCATGACAGAGTAGTATATTTTGGAAGCAACCAAAATTCCCAAAACAATGGAATGGTTAGGAGACAGATATATAGCTAAAGATACACATATTTGTGTATAAATATAAATATATGAAATCTCAAAAAACCCAAAATCATAAATCCAACTCATTAGTACAGCTATGGATTGAAGGGCAAATTTGGGGGTGAGTAGGTTGGCTCCTACCAAGATGCTGGAAACAATGGTCTATTTTTTCAGACATTGCAGAAGGAACTGACTACAGGACAACTGTAGAGACAAAATCACTGAGGAAGGTAGATGTCTGTCCCGATTTCAGATAGAATAAAATTCTTCCCAGCTGCTGGTAACAGTGCTTTGTGGCTGGTACAAAACAAATGTTTTGTGCATCACCTGGATCTCTCTTTCTTGCTCTCCTTTTTATACAAACATTTTATACTAATATATGTTAGCTGTTTCATCAGTTATTAAACTGTTCTTATCAAAACCCACAATGTACACTTTTTTTCCCCTGAATTCTGCACCCAACCAGTCTGTGGATGTGGTGTGCAAGTGGCTGCCTGGGGTTAAAACAAAACTCCATGTTTGTAAGAAAAAACAACCAAACATAAAACCCCCATAACCTTGAAAGCACAGGTAGAAATTAAATAGACACTAAATAACATTTAAACTAGTCCACGGGGAAGATGGACATGACATCTTTCTCTATTAAAGTTATGGAACAGCTATAGACACATATTTTTCAAAAAGTTAAACTGAATACTTAAAAGTAACCGCAGAAAAGTACTCACACCATTGATCAAAAAGTACTTCAGCTACACTAACCGAATGAGAACAGTTTCAAATCTAAAACTAAGTATCAAAGAAAATAGTTATCTTCCAATAACAGGGGCAAACAAATGGTTCCCTTCTAGAAGAACTACAAGACAAAGTTTCAATTTTGCAATCACAGATCAGATTAATCAGATGATAGCTCATGAATTCTTATCTGCCTAGAATTAATTTGCATAGCACATCTACAAAACATTACTAACACACTTATGAGTATTAAGAAAAAAAAACAAATTAAACCAACAAACAACAGCAAAAAACCATCAAACCAACTAAACCTCCTACAGAATTAGTGTTATGTGCAAGACAGACAGATAAGTAGGCTGTTACTGTTTGACAACAAAAAAGTACAACTAGCAAAATATGAACACCAAGAGTCATGTCACTCACTCCTGCATTACTATGTCCAGCTTCAAGTTCAGCTATCTGATCTTTGAGACACTCCAACAATCCTGAAAACTTATTCCCAAAATTCAAAGGCACATTAACAACAGACTATGGAAAACATCACTGGCTCAGTTCCAGCTAGACTCCTCTTTTTAGCTAATGTTTAGTTGAAGGAAGTCAGCACAGGGGTCAAAAGAGTAGCTTAAAAATGGAAAGTAGTTCCAAAGGAGAACAGTATTAAATGAACAGAAAGAGAGCAAAGGGGACAGAAGAGGTGAGACTGTTCCTTGGACATACAGCATAAGAGGTTATGAAAGCATGTAATTCAAGAAGGCGACAAACACTGTGGAACTAGTAAGGCCAAAATTGATCCATAATACACAGCAATACAAACTGTTTAATAATCAGCACTGAAAACTTATCTATGTAGCTCCAAAACCCAGGGAAGCACTAAATACAGTGACAGGCCCCCTTGGTCAGTACTACACCAGTGATGCAAGTAAAAGTCGACTTGTGAGGGGCACCTTACTAAGTTAACGGGTACAGTCAAAACATTTACGAGACAGCTTCTGGAGCTGATTTATGTGTGTGCACCTCCAGGAAATGCCTCACAACGCCGCTTCCAACGACAAACAAACAACGCCCCAGAACCCTATCCGTCCCCCCAAAGCCAGGCGCTGAGGCAGCTCCGGACCGGCCCGGCCTCCTCCGGTCCCCTCTGCACTGAGTCCGCCCGGTGTGACAGCGGCACCCCGGGGGCTGCTGGCACAGCCCCTTCCCGAATCCTCAGGGAGAGGGCTGGCCCGTCCATCCCCCCATCCCGACCCACCTTGAGGAGGATGGAAGGCGGCAGCTGGTTGATGTCTGGGGTGGGCGGCGGCGGCAGCTCCCGGCAACTGTCGCCGGGGTGCTCCAGCGGCTCCTCGCAGCCCGCCTCGCCGCCCCGCTCCTTCTCCTCCTCCCGGCCCTGCTCCTTCTCGTCCTGCGGAGTGGGAGGCGGTGGCGAGGCGGGCTGTCCCCCGCCGCTCTGCCCGGCTGTGCCCCCGCCGCTCTCCCCCGCGGCGCCGGGCAGGGCGAGCAGCTGCGGCTCCGTCGGGCACTGGCAGGCGCCGGGCTCGGGCTCGGCGGCGGCGCAGCGCGGCTGCTTGCAGGGCGGGCAGGCGGGCAGCCCGGCCCCCTTGCGCTTGCACACCATCTCGGAGGAGACCTCGCCGGGTGGCCCCAGGAGGCCCCGCACCGGCGAGGGCAGCAGGCCGGAGAGGAAGAGGCGCTGGCAGCGGCCCGGAGGTTCCCAGGCGGCGGGCGCCAGGCGCAGGAGGCGGCGGGCGACGCGCTGCTCTGCGGCGGTCAACGACACGTAGGGCGGCGGCGGCGGCGGCAGCAGCGGATCCCCGGCGGGCAGTGGCTGCTCCGGGGCGGGCGGGCTGGCGCCGTGAACGATGAAGCAGAGCATGCAGGGCCCGCGCAGGAAGCAGTTCCGGCTGCGCGGCGGCGGCGGCACCTTCCCCCGCGGGCGGCGGCGATCCCGGCTTAGGCTCCTTGCCTCCTTCGAGAGCAGGTGGCCCATATAGGAAGGGAAGCGGCGGCAGCGGAAGGGCGGGTGTCACCTGAGGGAGGCGGCGCCGGCAGCTGACATGCTGCCGGCAGGCCGGGGCAGGAGGCGGTGGCGACGGCGGGGCTGGTTCCGGGACGCCGGGAGGGAGGGAGAAGCTTCCGCTACCGCCGGCCTGACCTTCCCCGGGGAGCGGGGGCGGCGCTCCGCGGGCGGCCGCGCTGGGCCTTTGGAGGCCGGGCCGGGCGGGTGCCCGCCCGCCGTGTGTGGCAGCGCTGCGCTCACGGTCCGAGCGCGGCTCCGCAGGCCGCATACGGCACGCACGCCTATGATATGTGCGTATGTGCATTGCCACAGAATCGTTAGGGGCTGGAAGGCACCTCTGGAGATCATCTCGACCTACCCTCCTGCCAAGGCAGGGTCACCTGGAGCAGATAACACACGAATGCATCCAGATGGGTTTGGAGTGTCCTGAGAGAGAGACGGCACGGCTTGCCTGTTCTAATGCTCTGTCACCCTCAACGCGGCGTTCTTGTTTGAGGTGGAACTTACTCTGTTTTACTTTATGCCCTTTATCATGTCATTGGGCAGCGCTGAAAAGTCTGGCACCGCTGTGTTAGCATCGGTCTTGAAGATATTTATACCCATTACTGAGAACCCCTTCCACTCTTCTCCAAACCAGATGGGCCCAGTTCCTGCAGTCTCTCCTTACAACAGAGATGCTCCAGGCCCATCATCGTCTTCGTGGCATCTGCTGGACCCCCTCCGTTAGGTCATTGCCATATATATACACACATAAGACGTATAAAATACATGCATCTTTTTGAGGAACTGAAATAAAAATCTTTTGTGCTACACTTTGTAGGCAAATGTCAGAAGACCCCTTCCCATTGGTCTCAGATTATGTGCAGGACAGTGGCCGAGGTTTTGCAGTGGCAAAGCAACACAAGTTTAGAGACCATCAAGAGCAGTTTTCCAAGCTCTCTTCTGTCAACATAATTTTCCCACCAGCACTTTCCAGAAAATAGTTGTTTTCTGCTGTACATTGTACATCTGGAAACAGGGCTCATATGGGACCTCTGACCTGCTATGCCCTCCTGCAGACACTCACCTCTAACTGCAGTGTGTTGAACCTTGATGCAGGTGCCCTGGTGTGTAAATCCTTGCTGGATGCTGCATTAATTAAGACTCTGCTTAGTGCCTAGCAAAAGCAATTTGTTTCAGCGTTCAGTTCTAAACAGTTGACTTAGTTGTATAGTCTTAGATATGTAGTTTAAATATATGTGCAATTTTGTCTTTAGTAAAAGGTGTCTGGGGAAGGAGAAGTCAAGTTACAGCTAGAGTACATGTGGCTCAGTACTAATATTAAATAACAAAGGGTAGGAGAAGAAATGCACAGTATTTTATATTGCATAGCACATGTTTTGGCCTTTTGCCCAGGGACAAGTTATATTAGGATTAAAATACCCATGCTGCTATTATTTTAGCTTGTTACCTCTATTGTTAGTCTTCAGCAGCTCTTTAAAAATGTTTCCTATGAGAAAAGTACTAAATATACCTTTGGATAAAAGCAGAGCAATAGAATATTTTGTTTGGATGAGCTTCATCAATATAAAGCACAGCAAATCTTTACCAAAAAATTTGGCAAGGCCTTTTCGGCTCTGTTGGAAGAATGGGTTGAAAGACAGCTATAAGTAACTCTTGGTAAGACTGTGTGAACAGCAGGCCAGTCATCCTCATATATGGACTGAGTTTAACAGTGCCTGCTCTGCACTTGTGTAGCCCAGGTGTTGCTTCAGGGCTCCTCCTGAAACATGGTAAGTTAGCACGATAATGTACATAAATTCATTCTTTGTGCCTTAGCCATTGGTTTCTGCCTGTCCCAGCTGCCTGCCAGTGGTGGCTCACACTCTCCTTCCTCCCACAGACTGCAAAATTTTATTTCAGTAAGGAAAAACAAAAACAACATTAAAAGAAGATGAAAGTCCAAATCAAATCTTCAAACCAATCAGAACTCAGAATAAATGCTGGCTGTCTTCACCTTTTCCAATGTGTGTCCTTCCCACACACGTTGCAGTACTTCAAAAACTGCTCCCGAGTAGATTCAGAGCTCATATCAGGAGCTGCTTCCATGGGTCCAGAGCTCGTGTCAGGAGCCTGCTCCAGATTAATGTTCTGATGGGATCATGTGTGCCTTTGGACATCCACCTGCCCAGGCATGGATCCTACATGGGCTGCAGTGATTCTTTACAATGGACTCCTCCACAGGTCACGGTCTCTTAGACTCAAGTTCACATTGGAGTTCCAGCTTGTCCAGTATGGCAGCACAGGAGCACAGGCTCCCTCCAGCCCAGGCATTTTGCAATGGCTGTCACCAAAGTGTTCCCAGGCACAACACACTGAGGTGACCAGCAGTGCAGCCAGCAGCAAAATCAGGGCAGCCACTAACAAGGACTGAGTTCCAACAGACAGACAGGAAAGCGATCCCCATGGGAAGCACAGCAGCCTGCCAATTAATAGCTAAACAGCAGTAACAGCTACAAATTCAATGTAGCACATTCAATCAAATCTGCCATTATTTCAACCCTTCATGCACTACACTGGGTGCCAAAACAACTGACATGGTATAACCTCAGCTGTTCTTTTTTTCATTTTAATGACTTGTTTTTCTTGAGTTTTATTTCTTCTCTTTTTGTTTCATTTTCATTTTTGTCTTTTCCTTGCAATTCATTCTTACTACTACTATTACTATTTCTAACTTATGAAACTGCTGTTAGTTACCTCAGCCCATGAGTTTATTTCTTGGTTTTGCACTTCCAGTTCTTTCCCTGTCCCACTAGCATGGGGGAGTGAAAGGGTCTAAGCAGCTGTGTTTTTCTTAGTTGCCAGCTAAGGTTAAACCACAACAAGTGTGTTTGTTGTAAGCATATTTGGTATGATTATTTTCCCTTCAAGTAGATGACACAATTACAGAGTCTGGAAAAGACCTCTGAGATCATCAAATACAACTTTTTACTAAACACCACCATATCAACTAGACCATGGCACTAAGTGCCACATCCAGCTTTCCCTTAAACACCTCCAGGAATAGTGATTCCACCACTTCCCTGGACAGCTCATTCCAAGGTCTAATCACCTTTTCTGTGAAGGAATTCTTCTTGGTGTCCAATCTAAATCTTTCCTGATGCAACTTAAGACTATGTCCTCTTGTCCTGTAACTGGTTCCCTGGGAGAAGAGATCCCACCTGCTACAGCCTTGGGCCAGGGAGTTGCAGGGAATGATAAGGTACCCCCACCCCAGGCCTCCTTTTTTCCAGGTTAAATGCACCCAGATTCTTCACCTGCTTGTCATCAGACTTGTGCTCCAGACCCTTTGCCAGCTTTTTTCCCTTCTCTGGACATGCTCCAGCCCCTCAATGTCCTTCCTTGAATTGAGGGATCCAGAGCTGGATACAGCGCTCACAGCGCTCAAGGTGTGATCTCAGTCCAGGGGCATGGTCACTGCCCTGCTCCTGCTGCCCCACTGTTGTTGATACAGGCCAGGTGTCCTTGGCCTTCTTGGCCACTTGGGCACAGCTGGTTCATATTCAGCTGCTGTCTGCCAGAACCCCCCAGGTGCTTTACAAACACAGAGCTCTGCCCCAGCATGCAGCAACGCGGGGGGTTTTGTGGTCTTGTTGAACCTCAGATCATTGGCCTCAACCCATCAATCCAGCTTTCCAGATCCCTCTGCAGAGACTTCCTGCCTTGTAGCAGAACAACACACCCACCCAAACTGGTGTTGTCTGAATTTGCTAATGGTAGATTCAATCCCCTTATCCAGACCATCAGTGAAGATATTAAACAGAACTGGGCCCAGCACTGATGCTGGGGGACACCACCAGTGACCAGAGGCCAGCCGGATCCAGCACCATCCACCACCATTCTCTGGGCTGGCCATCCAAACAGTTTTTCACCCAGCCAAGAGTGCTCCTGTCCAAGCCATGGGCTTCCAGCTTTTCTGGTGAGATGGTATCAAAGGCATTGCTGAAATCCAGACAGACGACACCCACAGCCTTTCTCTCCTTCCCCTGGTGAATCTCCTGATTGTTACAGTATTTCTGAAGTTGCTGGATGTATAAAATTTTTATCACTGTAGCAGGCAAGTTCCAAGGTAATTATGCTATCAGAATGCCATGGGGACCAGGGCACCAGGGAGGACAGGACAGGGCTTCACCAGATGAGAAATACAGGGAAACAGAATGTGCTTCTGGTCTATGCAAGGGTTTTAACACTGAGTGTCACTGTTGCTTCATGGAAGGCAAGCACAGTAACTGCCTTTTGCAGTGTAAAAGCAGAATGAAATATTACATGGCCAAATATCAGCTGTGAAATCTTCACTGCATAATGTCAGAAGGCAGATGTAACTAACGGTTCATTTCTTCATTAGCACTACTTATATTTCATGAAATTAAAAGTCATAGAACCAGTAATGTGAGAAATGTGCCTGAAAGCTACTACAACTTAGTCTCGGAATTAAGCAGTAAAGTCCCCTCTATTTGTGATAGTAAGGGTTTATTTTACACATAGCAATAGATTACAACACTTTTCATTGTTATCTCTGTGCATATTTAAATAGACCACAAAATCTGGTGACTGAAGGTAAGTATGATATTTAGGCTTGAGCTGCAAGGGAACACAAGAAATTTTTAAGTTTCTATGTTGTATCTAGTCCTGATACCCCTAAAGTGCATATTCATCTGTATTTCTGGACTGACCTTTAGAAAATTTGGTCTATAATCTTTGGCCTTATTGCCAGTGTTGAGAGATAGTAACTATTTAACTTAAGTAAGTTTAAAGTAGAATTTGTTTCATTGAATTACGAAGTTATAACACCATGTGATTTAGTATGTTTATTCCCTTTGTGTAGCTTTGCTTGCTTAACATCAGTAGCTTTGAAGCATTGTTTTAGGAATGTCATTATGAAATAGATGGAAGGAAATAGGAAACTTTCCATCTTGGTTATAGAAACAGATTAAAAGTTCTTTTGTAAAATCCTAGTTGTTTCACTATTTGTGCTAGTTTTACCTGGAATGTACTTAAGTTTTTTCACAGTAGTTTGTAAGGGGCTGTATTTTGATTGGTAACAGAAACAGTACATGGATATTTTGGTTTTTTATTGAGAAGGGCTTGCAGAAATCCAAGAGCTTTTTCTGCTTCTCTCTCCATCCTACAAGTGAACAAGGAAGGAATTGAGAGGGGACTCAGCAGGAACATGATACTCCAGACCAGGTGATACCACGTTAAGCAGTGAAGTGGGGGGAGATGAAGGGAGACAAGAAGGACATTCAGGGGGGTGGCATTTTCCTCCCAAGTCATCATTATGTGAAGGAGCCCTGTTTTCCTGGGAATGGCTGAACACCTGCCTGCCCATGGGAAGGGAACTAATTCCTTGTTTTGCTTTGCTTGCACATTAACCTATTAAACTGTTTTTATCTGTATCCAGGAGTTTTCTCAGCATTACCCATCCGATTCTCTCCTCCGTCCCACAGGGAGCAGTGAGCAAGAGGCTGTGTGGGGTTCAGCTGCTGGCTGGGGTTGCACCATGACAGTGCCCTTGATCTACATGGGTATGAATGGAGGTTCCTCAGTTCTCCATTCCTGAAGACTTAAAATTTTTTGCAAGTCATAGTTCTCATTGCAACCACTTTATTATTTAGTTCTTCATGTGATTCTCATGGTTGAATGGAGGCTGTGATTCTCATGACTAAATCTCAGTTCCAGGGCACTTCAAGAGGAAACGGGAAGATTAATTTCACTATTCTGATGAATATTTGGGTGATATACACTATGAATTTTCTGTTTGCAGGGGTAGTTTGCTTCTTCTTATTTTTTCTGCAGATATAATCATCTGATGCTCAAATGTCACCTTAAAGTTCTACTTTGCTGGAAGGAAAAAAGCATAAATATGACACACGATCACATGATTTCAACCCATTGAATTGCCACAGTTTAGATTCTACTTCTACAATGACCTGCCTGTGTGTTGACAACACACAGTATGTATACTTGGAAGTGCTTAGCAGTCAGGGTCTCTTGTATGGCTGTAATCTTAACTGCAGAGCTCTCATTACAGCAAGGGAAATAATTGAATGGTTTCATTCATGTTTTGTCCAAAATAACATCTAGGTGTGTTTTGGTAGTGGTAACCTTATTCCCAAAGGTAGAAGGCAAAGTTTGGAGATTCTGTTCCTTATCTAATATAAGGTATCAATCTGAAAGATCTTCAAAATAACCAGTGGTTGTTTTTTTTTTTTTTTGTTTGTCAGTAACTAATAAATCCTGGAACTTTTAAACATGTTGTATGGTCTGCCTGCAGATGGCAGTATTTGGTTTGGAAGTAGAAATCCTGGCGAGAAATGCAGTTTGGATCCTGTTTTAGTATTCATCATACCATGGCACCTAAGTGACAGCCTGTCAATAATTAAAGGGAAGGTAGGAGAAGAGAGGCTGAATGTTTCACAGTCTTCTGATCTGCCATAATTTTTCCTTCTCTCTTAACATAAAGATTCTTTAGTAAGTGTGTAGTAATGATCTATTTTGAGGCATTACAACATTTACATTCAAGACTCCAGAAATCCTTACATAGGAAATCCCTAATTTAATTTTTTTTTTCTTTTTAATAAATTGCCAGTTAAGATTTGCCCTTCCATGAAGTGACGAAGATAAAAATATCAGCACTATCATGTTTTCATTTCACAGTTTTTGTTTGATCATACATTCAATTTACAGTACTTAAAAAACATTTTTTATCCAGGTATTTCAAGGTTAGCTATGAACCACCATATTTAAGTTAAAATTTTATGCAGCTACAAAAGGGCTGCAATCTTAGGAAAAAAATAAGGAGACAACTTACTCATTATTCTCTCTAGAATTTCTTTCATTAATTCACAGAATAATTACAGTTGCCTTGTAGAAAATTTCTTTACAGGAGCATAATGTGAAAAATCATGTGTCAACAAACCAACAAACAAGCAGAAATCAAAATAGAAGTTATCTTAAACAGAAATCTTGGGCTAGTCTTATTTTCAATGTATTTGTGGAAATCCTGTCTGTATTATGCATGTGTGCTTTTTTCGCCGTTCCAAGTAATTAATTTTAAAGGGTTACATGAGCATAAGAACCTCTTTTTGTTGCTTTGATTAAAGACTGCGCAATACTCCCGAGGTCCGTACAACTCATAAGTAGATATAATAACTACAATTCTCCTGGCTGCTAACAGCCTTGAGAAATTAGTTTCTGGTAATATGATAACCTTTTACTATTTATGATAGTTGCTTCCAAAGTAGAATTGTGATTCTCAAACTGGAGTTTGAGTCTTGCAAGATCAGAAGAATGGTAACTAGTGGGGTTCCATAGGACTCTGTCTTAAGTCCTGTGTTCTTCAACATCTTCATAATTTACTTGGACAAAGGATTTGAAGGTACTCTAAGTTTACAGATGATACAAAATAGGGAGGAACTTCTGACTCTCTCAAAGGTGTTGAGGCCCTGTAGAGAGACCTCAATAAATTGGAGAGATAGGCAATCACCAGTTTGGTGGAGTTTGACAAGGCCAAGTACTGGATTTTACACCTGGGATGGGTCAACCCTAGCTGTACAGACAGACTGAGGAATGAGAGGCTGGAGAGCAGCACTGTGGAGAGGGACCTGGGTGTCCTGGTCAGTGGCAAGCTGGATGTGAGTCAGCAGTGCCCTGGCAGCCAGGAGGGCCAACCCTGTCCTGGAGATACCAGGCACAGCATCGCCAGCTGGGAAAGGGAAGGGATTGTCCTGCTCTACTCTGGGATGGGGTGGCCTCACCTCAAGTCCTGAGGGCAGTTTTGGGTGTATTGATGTGCAAAGGTTATAAAGCTATTAAAAAGTGTCAAAAAGAGGGTCGTGAAGATAGTGGTCTAGACAGGAAGGCATAGGAGGAGCAGCTGAGGTCACTTGCTCTGTTCATCCCGGAGGACACTGCGGGGAGACCTCACTGGGGCCTTCAACATCCTCCAACATGCAAAGGGGAAGAGGAGGGGCAGACACTGATCTCTCCTCCCGGGTGCCCAGTGACAGCAACCAAGAGAATGGCCTGAAGTTGTGCCAAGGGAAACGTACAATAGACACAGGAAAAAGGTTTTTCACTCAGGGGGTGTTTGGGCACTGGAACAGTAATTAAGAGTTTATTAAAGTACTTTAAAGGCATTAGAAAAGATGGGAGGAACTTTTTAAAACTGGGAAGTTTTTTTAGGGGATGACTACCAAGCAGGATTCATACATGTACTTTGAAAAACAAGCAAACAAACAAACCAGCTACGTCACACCCATGCCATTGCTGTTTCTGCCATAAACTTCTAAGGAAGAGGAGCAGGAAAATTACATTGTAGGAAAATTAGATTGCAGGCAGGCACAGACAAAGAATACAATCTGTCTAGGTATAGAATGTCTAAATATGGAAGTAGATGCTACAACCTTCTGAGAACAGTACCTCCTAAGGTAAGAGTCTCTGGGTTTTTTTTCAATAAAAATAAGATTCTCTGGGGTTTTTTTAAAATAAAAGTAAGTGGGAAAGGTTAAAGTATTCTGTCTTGATAGCCCCCAAGATAGCAAGTAAGGAGTTCATGCTAACTTTCCATTAAGATTGATGTTTGAATAATCACTTACATAGAATATTTGTAAGAATCTTTATGATAAATTTATAAATTAATAACATCATTCAGTAATGATATCTCTTCCTATCTGGACTATTCTTCCTCTCTCTGTCCTACCCACAAATGTTTGTTTCAAGCAGCCAAACAATAGAATGGCTAAAAATAGATGATTCATACTGCCATATTATTCTGCCTAGTTAGAGTCTGTCTATTAGGATGATGGCATGAACTTAAAACCTTGGCAGATATATGTATATATATTAAATATAATCGAAATTTTATGAAATATTTTTGAAAAGGTAGTCTTTGTTGGAACATTTTTTGAGCAGTGCCAGCTCCCTTCTGTCTTTGCCTTTGAAGAAAAACTGGGGCCTTTGCCAGAATTTGTGTTAACTACTGCTGGCAGAAACCTACAGACAAACTTGCCCTTTTTTTGGAAGTAGCAGCTGCAGCACCAACATTTCAGAGAAATCATATCCCTCAGTAACCTCTTAAGGTTTCCTCACCTTGCTCCTATAAGAGGAATTCTGTTAAACATTAGTAATCCTGCAAAATGCATATCCCTAAAATTAAAGAAATATCTAGCAGGCATATGTAAAAAGTCAGGGAAGATGAGAGGCACCTTGGCAGATTATATTAATGCTATTGTTAGGACAGTTTCTGCATATTGCACATATTAGTAAGAGAGGAGATAATGTTAAAGAGTTGACCTATACTGATTGAAACACACATATCTTCCCCATCAGTATGCCAGGGAAATGCATGTGATATGCATTATGAGCTAGCCTAACTAGAAAAAAAAGAATGCATTTCTCTTTGGATTCTATGGTGTCCCATGGCTGAGGGATGGCAGAGAACAAAACTAGTTAAATTAAAAAGTGCATAAAGCAAGCTTTGTGTATTTCATGTGCACCTTTTAACCTTTCCTACCCGTGTGTTTTCAAAGAGAGGTAGAAATTGTTTAAAGATATCAAGGCTCTGCCTTAGCACAGAATTGTCCCAGCTGTTGCAATAGTGCACTCAGGTTGTTGAATGTTGGATAGACGTTCCCAGCTCATTAGGTTTTATGCACATACAAGGTCCAGCAAAGCTCTTTGGGACTTTGGGTTGTAAGGTCAAGTCCTGAATTATGTACTGCAACAGTTCTCCTGCACTAGAAGTTTAAATGGGGGATCTTGCCACAAAAGTGCCTCGAGTGTGTAGGGACCAATAGAGACAGCTGTGCACATGTGCCTCCTATGCTCCACATGGGACTGGCAGAAGCGGCTGCTGATTCACTTTCCAGATGTATTTGTCTAACAATATCTGGCATGTGGGCATGGAGTGAAAAGAGCCTGTGATGCAGCTGCCTGGCATTAATTTTGGCTGTCTGTGCCTGGTAAATGGGATACCAGGCTGGGAGAAAGCCTGTAATGCTGCTTTCAAGGAACTGAACAGGACCACAGCCCTCTCCCCCACCTGTGAATCAACATGCTGTAAAAGATATGCTCTTTTTGCTGCTTAGGCTCGACTTCTTGGTCAGAGATGTACTGTGCACTTGTCTACATGTGTACTTGTCTACTCATGTTTAAATATATAAGGGAGAATCTGTGGAGAAAAAAAAATATTGTGAGGCTTCATATAGAATAAAGAAACAATGAGATAGAAATAAGTGAGCATTTGAAAAGCTTTTCTCCAAGTATAAAAACATGGAAAGTTTAGCTTGTTGATACAGAATTCTTTATAAGAAAAAAAAATCCACACAACAACTGTCTGAAAATGTTATATAGAAAATGTTATTCTTGCTTTAACTGCTCAGGGTGTTGCAGACACCTTGAAAAGTTCTTTAGGTGCTTCAGAGGATTCTTGAAAACTGGTGCCCATTGTAGATCTTGATCACTTGGGAAAAACATTTAGCCTTGAGTCTAACTCAGGTTTTGAAAGTGTGTCTTGGGCATACAAACCCAGACCATCAAAGTACCTAAGAAAATAAATAAATCTGTTTTTTCACTGTCCATATAAATGAAGATGTATTCTTTTATCCATCTGAACCTTGCTAGGCAGTGTCTGCTTTCTTCTAAATGTACATTTAATACTCTTGTTGCAATCTAAAAGGAGAGTATACTCCTCTTCTGCCTGTGTGTGTTGCAGGAAACTGTCCAGTCTGCAGGCAAATATCAGTCAGAGGATTCAGATCCATTTTGTAATACAAGGGGGAAACTGTGTGGTGTGGCTGTGGTGGTTGCAGGAAGTTTCATGCTATTATAGGAAATTGGTAGCAAAATAACTTCATGTCAGTTTTTGCAAGAACTAGAGCATATGTTACCTAATTCTTCAGAATGACATGACTTCTGAAATTTAGTATTTATTCATCTTATTCTCAGAAACATGCACTACCTTTTTGCAAAGTGGGATTATTTAGAAGTAAAGGCACAAATTGCTTGTCACATACAATATTCCTTTAATGCTTGAGAAGCACTCTCTCAGCTGCAGTTAATTTGGACAGTTGTACCTAATATTCATTAATTAAAAATCTGTATTCCCTGTAGATTTTCTTGTGTCTTATTCTCCACTTCATGTCTCAACATAAATTTGCGTTGGTTATGATTATATTCCCTGGTAAATCTTCAGACTGAAGTTCTTTACTCATGTAAATGCTTTGGTCATTATATATGTGTTTTAAATGAGCTAAGTCACTTTCAGTATAATTAAAATGGCCTTTTGCTCTTCCAGAACACATTGTGCACTGACAAGTCTTTGAAAAGAAAACATACTATTTTAACATCTAAGGTGCCTTAGATGTATCATGACAACTTCTGTACAGGTGCTAGCAGTAGATTTTATTTCTGTGTGAAATAAAGTTGTATCAGTTGGACAAAGTCTAGTTATGTTGAATGAGGTACAAATGATGGAGGGACTGGTAGGAACAGCTTGGTGAAGCTGTGGTTTCAAAAATAAGAGAACCATAACCTAGAGTAAAGATCAAAATAAAGGTGCACTTGGCCTGTGTCACTTTTCTGTTTTTCTGCATTGCCTTCTGAGTGTTCAGGTACTTACTGATTTAGGATTGTCAGTATTAAGGTGGGCTACATAGTGCAGCACTTGAAGCTGAAGAATGATTATTAAGAAAGTTCTACTCCCTAAAAGTGAATTAGTCCTACTTGCAACTCTTCAAGACTTCAGGTGTAGTAATAGGTCATGCACAAAGTAGTCCTACGTTTCTTCCTTAGGGCATGTGCATTTCACATTCAAAGCACTTTTTTCCTAAGAGGAATAGCATTTCATGTTCAGGGAAAAAAAACACTTTTTCTTTAAAGTTTTTAAAATATAATTAAAATCAAAGGCTGCAGATTAAAGCTTTGATCTGAATGCAAGAGAACAGTGAAATACCATAATTTCACTTTGCTTTTTCCCATTTAAACTGGGGCACCACTTACAGGTACACCACTATAGAAACACAGTAAGCCATGAAACTTGGATTTCTTGTCAACAAAAGTATTTCAATGTTTCTTCACAAATCAGGCATTCCAATGTGTTGTTTGCTCATCATTTGACTTGCCTGTTCATGAGATAAACCACTTTTCCTGTTTAACTGTAAAGAATTGTCATACCCATCAGTGGGGCACTTTTTGTAACAAATAGATGAAGAACTGGAAAAAGGGATTCCTCAGTACTGGTAACCTAATATTTATTTTGGGAGTTAATTGAAAAGGTAGTCCTTGTAGTCTATTGTTCTCAAACAGCTTTGCTTAAGGAAGAGGTTTATGTTGGCACTGGCACTCACAGGCACAAATAAGAGAAGGACTGCGGGTTTTTCTGCTGTCCTTCTGGAAATCTTAGCCAACACTGAAATATCAATGGCTTCAAGAGTGCAAGGAAGAAGAAGAAAGAATAATGTGAGCCCTTCCTGAGTTTACTGAGTGAGCTATACATAGCAAGTGTGACTCTTACAGGACTAGGTGACTTCTAAAGATTAATGAACTCAGATACACGTTACCATGAAGAGAGAAAAGAACCTGTTATCTACATGCACAGAAGGGGAATATGAGGCACAGATGGGATAAGGCAGCCTACAGTCGCATAGGAAAGCTGTGGCAGAATAAGAAATAGGATACAAAATTTACCAGTCATTTCCCACAATCTACTTACTTACCTCATTGCCCCCGTAATGGGGGCTGGGAATGAATTTAGTTCCACATCTTAATACCCACAGAACCTCGTGTGGGGGAAGAGAGGTGAAGTACTCAGGACTGTCGTGCTTCCCTGAATAACACAGTCTGAGACAAATCCTAAAATGCTGAAGTGTCATAAAATGTTTGAGATTATTCAACTTCATTAGGATTAAATGTTCTGAAGACTTCATCATGCAATGTGTGTGAAATAATTTGGAGATGAAAAGAGAACAGCTTCCAGTTTGAAGAGATTTATTTTGAGACTTCAGACAATTTTATATTACTTTTTTACACACAACTTGTGATCTATCAGCATGAAAGGCTTCAGACTCTAAAAAATCAAGTCTTAATTAGTATGTAGATGGAAAATTATAAACCCATCCTCCTTCCTCATCTGCACTATATTTGATTTGACAACATTTTAAAGTCATTACTGGATTCTTTTTTTCTTTTACAGTGTTTTATCAGTATTTCCCAGCTTTTGATTCACAAGCAACGTATTACTCACAAGCTCTGAAAATTGCCTTTGTGAATAAGTGTATCATCTGTCCTTGCAGCTCACACTGACTGGAACTGCAATTAGTGTGTTGCCATTATGTTACTTGCTCTACAGTTTGCCAAGAATCAAGCAAAAGTTGAAGGCAACTTACTCGTAAAACTGTTGGAAAAATTAGCTCTAGTCTGGACTTGGAGACGGTAATTGTGAGGTTTGACTTTGGCTGGCTGCCAGATGACCACCCAGCTGCTCTCTCACTTCCCTCCTCCTCAACAGGAGAGAAAATAAGATGTCAAAACTTGAGAGACAAGATTAAAGACAAGGATATTATTTACTGGGTGTGAACATCCAATGCAATAATGGATTGCTTGGTGGAGGACCTTTTTTGTTTCTCTGTGAGAAGTTAGAGGCTGCTTTGTACAGTTTGTGGAATAATGCATGAAATTGTCATAAATGCCCATTTAGAATAAAGTATCAAATAGAATCGAACAGAACAAAATAAAATAGTGTATTTCAGTTGGAAGACGTGTACATCCAATCCAATTTTCTGAGCACCTCAGGGCTCACCAGAACTTAAGGTGTGTTACAACATCTCTAAAAAGCCTATTCCAAGGTCTTACCACTCTGTCAGTAAAGAATTGCATCCTAATGTCAAGTCTGAACCTCTTCTAGTGCAGCTTTGAGCCATTTCCATGCATCCTGTCAGTGGATCCCAGAGGTAACACATCAGCACCTCCCTCTTCACTTTCCCTCGTTAAGAAGCTGCAGAGAGCAGTGAAGTCCCCCCTCAGTTTCCTTTGCTCCAAACTGGAAAAACCAGTCTCCTCAGCTGCTCCTCACTGAACAGCCTTTCCCCCAGTTCCACTGCCCTCCTCTGGGTGCATCCCAGTGCCTTCACATCCTTCCTAAATTTAGGGGCCAGAACTGCACACTGTGCAATCCCCTGTGTTGGCTGTTGGGCTGTGCTGTGTCTGATGTGCCCCAGGATGGGGTTTGCTCTCCTGCTGGCTGAGGTGGAGCCTGCTGTCCACCAGCACCCCCAGATCCCTTCTGCAGAGCTGCTGCCAATCCTCTCCCAATTCAAGCTTGTGCCTGGTGCTACTCTTTCCCAGATGCAGAGTCTGACACCTGTTAAATTGCACACCAGTGATTGTTAGCCAATATTCAATCTATTTAGGTACTTCTACAAAGCCTTTGGTCCCTCAAGAGAGTCAGTAGTGTCTCCCAGCAAATGTGCTTGTGGTGCACCCAGCCTCTTCAATCAGATGATTGATAAATACATGGAAAATTACTGTTCCTAGTACTGATCCGTAAGGAGTGCTTCTGGTGACTGGTCTTCAGTCAGATGTGTCTTTCAGCCAGTTCTTCATCCAGTTCACCATATACCAGCTCATGTCACAGTTGGATCACTTCTAGAGAAGGAAGTGACACAATGAAAGCGTTTACACAGCAAAAGGTAACATATGACAGTATTCACCCTTTAATGAATATTTCTTCGGTGTCTTTAGTACTCATATACTTCAAGACAGACAGACAATTTGCATATCAAGAAAGTTACAGCTGAGTACCTTACTGCTTTGCAGTTCCCACAGCTTCTTGCTCTGGTAGCAAGCTTTTCTTTTTAAGCAGTTTCTGCAGTTGCTGGTTCATTCAGATTCTACTGTATCTTGACAACTGGGCATGTTCAGTGGGGGGGCTAAGCCTCTTTGAAGGTGCCTCTTTGCTCTGCCTGAGGTTGCTCTGTGTCTGAGGAGAAAAGATCATACTCTCCCTGTGGATCTCTGCAGCATGAGCTGGCACAGAAGATGATGACAGGCTACAGGGCAAGGCCAGGTAAAGAAAGGTGACAGAGGGCAGATTGAAACTCTGACTTTCCATACAGATTTGGAGAGTCCCGAAAGTCCATGGCAAGTCAGGAGTCCGATAAAAGTTTTTTATCTAAGTACGAGCCTAAAGGAGATGAATGCCTTGCCAGGGCAGTGAACAGGGCAAGGAGGCATTCCTGCATGAAATCTTTAGCTGCAGTCTCTGCATTTCCCCTGTTTTCTAAAAACTTTGCCCTATCCTAGTTTGTGCTTAAATTAAAGACAACCTTAAATATTCCAAACCACTTTGTTGTACAGGTGGAACCATTCCAAAATTCTCATTAAACCATTTTCAATGTACTTGTATAAGTTATATATTAGCTACTTCTGTCATCTTGCTGATGTCACAGTGCTTTCAAAAAAGGCAATCATGTTCTTTGTGTAACATGTATTTATTATTTGTAGTCTACTTCCTAAGTATTTTGTAAAACATTTTGAAGAGATTAATTACTGGATAGGGATATCATTAGTGAATATACCAGCTGAACAAAACTGGATAGGATAATCTCATTTTATTTATATTTTCACAGATGATAGAAATTAACACCATAGGCCAGGGGTTAACACAAAATTATTTTCTACTACATTCAGGAACTCACAGAGACTTAAAGAAGGGTTCTGTAGATGAAAAAAAAAAAACCAACCCACCATCCTCCTACTTCTCCTTGTATTACAGCTTTTAAAAAGCTTAATCTCTCTCTAGAAAACATAAAGGAGGTGGAAGGAAAGCAAGAACCCAAAAGCTGAATCCCACTCCAGATCCCATTTTCCACAGATGGAAGGTAGGTCTATTGCAGTGCTTAAGAGCACAGCAGTTCTTTTTTCTTTCCCCCCACCTCCCCCAACACTGCTGAGATGTCATTACTGTATTGTTTACAGTGTTTGCTTCCTTGCTGATGTGAACTATCTGTGATACTCAGGTCTACTGCCCTCTTTTCCTCTTATTTTTTGCTGGTGAGGCCACAGTGACTCCAGGAAGACATCGCAGAGGATACTGGAGGACCAAAAAGGAGTGCTAAATGAAACTCAAACTTTGCAATTGCAGAGGGTTTCTAGGTCAAATGTGCTTGCATGGGCCCACCCAGCAAAGTCTGCCTCCTGCTGTGAAAGGAAGGTCCAAAATACTGCTTCTTTATTTTCCTTTATCAGTTTGGAAATATTACTAAATCTAAAACACAATTTGGGATTTGATTTCCTCTCCATATATAAATTTGATACAACTATCAGAAGTACGAGTATGTCACATGGGATGCAAACATTTAGTCAGGGAAGTGATTTCAACTGAACAACTTGACATAGCTGATTCACTAGTTCTCATCAGAGCTTTATGTTTTGGCTTCCACTAAGTTATTAAAAAAATATCAAAAACCTGGGCCAAAGTTTTTTTCAGAGAAATCTGTGTGGTCTATTCAGTGTCCTTGCACATCTGCCACCGTTGTAAAGTCTGCCAGGAAGAATTTTTAATCCAGCTGAGTA